GGATGTTTAAAATGCCTTTTCTTCATATTCACTAATCTTTTCTTCTATAGGGTTGAATTTGTTGTTCAACCCATCAAGCGAAAATTTCCTTTCAGAGAATATATTATTATGTTCTAGGTTCTTTAGGTTTTTTTTTAAATATCCTCTGTTCCTCTCCTTATTATGTTCATGTTTTTATTTAAATATTTGGGGTTTTTTTTATTAATTGATTTTGAGAGAAAGAGACAGAGACATTAATTTGTTGTTCCACTTATTGATGCATTCATTGGTTAATTCTTGTATGTGCCCTGACTGGGGATCAAACGTGTAACCTTCGCATATCAGGATGACACTCTTAACTAACTTGAACTAGGTAAGGGCTGGGTGTGGTAATAGCTATTTACGTCTTTGTCTACTAATTTTACTATCTGTCAGTTCTAGGTTTAACTCTATTGACTGATTTTTTCTCCTGCTTATAACTCACATAGTCCTTCTTTTTCTCATGTCTGGTTATCTTTTATTGGATGCCGGACATTATAAAAGTTAAGTTGAATGCTGCATTATCTTTACTTCTTTTAAATAAATATTGGACTTTTTTAAAGAAACTGTTAAGTTACTTGTAGATAATTAGTTTGATCCATTTGAGGCTTGTTTCAAACTTTGTTAGAGCAAATTTAAAGTTGACTTTACTCCAAGTCTAGTTTAACCGATAACTGTGACCTTCCTGGATGTTCTGTGAGGACTCTCCATTCTGACCGATCAGAGATTGAAAATCTCTGAGCTCTGTGTGAGCTTTGGGAATTGTCTGTCTTAAAGCTCACCGGTCACTTTGTACTTGGTCTTATAGAACTTAACCTTACACATGCACAGCTAAGTATCAGTAGCAGACTCAGGTGAACCCATGTAGCTATGAGGACTTCCGCATGCACCCTCCTCCCATCTAGTGGTCTGCCCCGGCAAACTCCAGCTGCTCAGCCTTCCCAGACTCTAATCTCTGTTTCCTCGATTCACAATACAGCTGTGCTGTGCTCGACTCCCTCCCCGTGTCCAGGCCCAGAATGTGCCTCCAGGAAGAAAGGGATGGTTGTCGGGTTGACCCTCTTTGTTTCCCTTCCCTTCACAGTCACAGTCCTGTGCTTCTTGCTCCCAGCACCCTAACAGTTTTCTCCATATTCTGTCCAGTTTTCTAGCTGTTTACTGTAGCAGATGAAGTATGGTCCCAGCTACCCCACCATGGTCCCAGTGGAAATCATGAATTTTATTTATGCTTCACAAATTTATGCCTTTATTTTGATGTAATATGTAGAGGTTTTTAAGTTGGAAAGTTCTGTAAAAATTCTAAATTTTAAAAATTAAAATAAATTAAATCTAAGTATTCATTATGAATTATCTGAATATTTATGCACCATAGGATATTATACAGTTATGTAGTAATATCTGGCACCATAACTCTTTCAGTCTTTGAAGAAGCTTCAAATGGGTACCTATACAACTTTTAGTAGAAAATACTGCATAATGATCTGAGCTTTGTACTGTTTAGAGATTTTGGGAAGCATCCTTTTATTTAATCCTGTTTATTCCAAAACTTACACTATTATATTTTAAAGAAATGTATCTTTATGAGACCTGAACTTGCCTTAAAAAGAGGAGTCTCCTAATTTTCTTCTGTCCAAATCACCTTCCTGGAAATCATGGATGCATGAATTTTCACCTTTAGTGATGGGACATGGAAAATAAAGGAATGAAAGACTTTTTTGAATTATGACATAATGTGAAGTGCCCTGCAGAAAAGGGTGCTATATTAAGATGATTTGGGGGCGGGGGGAGTGGATATCTATAATACTTTCAACAATAAAGATAAAAAAAATTTAAAAGATGATTAACAGCCATTGACACCTTTGTGAAAATTGGTTGGTTGATTGGTTCTTTTGCAATAGGGTTTTAAACCTGAGATTTTGATGGTAGTTGCATAGAGAAAGTGGACCAACACACTGGGCTCTTTGACAAGGAAGACGCCCTAGAGAAGCAGAGGGGAACCGAGTGCTTGTGAAGGGTGAAGGGGCAGCCAAGCACACACAGGAGCAGTGAGGTTGAAACAACAGCAACAACAAAACAATTCTGCTCACTTCAAAAAAATTTTTTTTTCTCATCTGTTATTCTATACCTATTCAGGCCATGTTGTAGATGACTATTGGAAAACGGTATTTTTCTATAGTAATCATAGCTATGAAAATACGACTTGGGTTCAAATAGCTAACCCTAACTTAATTTATGTATGACATTAAATGTAAGTCAATACCATACTGAGAGTAAAATTATTCAAAAATGTCGGGGGGACAGTTCGCATGATAAATTAGCTATAATTTTTCAACCATGCTCAACCAGCGCTTTTTAGATGTAATTGAAAAGCTCAGAAATTCAGGCCGCTGGGACTTAGGTTCACATACATAGTAAAAGCCTTGAAGCTTGATAAATAAATTTTACTTCTTCAAGTATTCAAGAAATTACACAATTTCTCATTATGCTTTAGAGTATTGATTCTGCTCTATTTTGCTGTTAACTAGGTCTAGGCCGGCGGTTCTCAACCTGTGGGTCGCGACCCCTTTGGAGGTCGAACGACCCTTTCACAGGGGTCGCCTAAGACCATCGGAAAAACACATACATAATTACATGTTGTTTTTGTGATGAATCACTATGCTTTAATTATGTTCAATTTGTAACAATGAAATTGGGGGTCACCACAACATGAGGAACTGTATTAAAGGGTCGCGGCATTAGGAAGGTTGAGAACCACTGGTCTAGGCTTTTTATCTACCACCATCTGGTCTCACTTTAAATTCATCATTGGTCATTTCAAGGGGGACCCAGAATGCTTCCCGGGTCCATGGACTCATCCTGCAGTCCCTCCCCACTTTCCCAGGTGACTATTCATGTTCTCGCCTCACACCTTGAGTCTCCCAACAGTCTCTTCTGCCCTCCTCCTGCTAACCTGATGAACCATTCCTTCTGCTTCATGGAGAAACTGGAATTAATCAGGAGTTCCCACCACTGCTGCTGGGGCGGTACCTGTACTTCCCAGCAAAGGCCCTCTCCTCCCCTGCACTCTCTATCCCACGACCTTTCCTTTCCTCAAGGACATGTCTCCAGTGAGTCCCTGGCATCAGCTATTTTCCCCTCTCTCCTGCAGATCTTTCCTGTCAGCGTGTATGCTGTCAGTTCTCTCATCTCACAAAAAAAAAATACAAACAAACAAGTCAGCCCCGCCTTGCCCACTTCCCCTGCAGCTTCCAGCCCGGTTCTCTCCTTCCCTCTGTAACAAACCCTGGACAAAGTGTCTGTATCTGCTCCAGTCCCTCCCCTCTCTCTTGGGCTCCCTCTAATCTAGCGTTCCTCCTTGCCACTACACAAAATTGCTTCTATCCAAATCACCAATGTCCCCCACGTGCTCAAAAAAGCCATGTGGTCATTTCCCAGACCTCCCTGTGCACGAGCTCTCTGTAGCGTCTGACACAGTGGAATACTCCTTGAAACACTTTATGTGGCTTCAGGATGCCACCCTGTTCTGGCCTCTTACCTCTCTGGCCTTTATTTGCTTTCTTGACATTGGCAGGCACAGGGCTCAGTATACTTGTACTTCCGTTTTTATAGACCCTCGATGCCTTAGCATGTCATCCAGTAGCATAGTCCTATGCACCATGTACATGCTGATGTATACTTTTAGCCTAGACCTCTCCCCTGAACTCCAGACTGGAATGTCCACATGTTCACTGCAACGCTACATGTCCAATAGGCATCTCCAAGCTTCATGTGTCCGAAACTTATCTGAATCTTCCTCCAAAAACCTGTTCCACCAAGGTTTTGATGTAATGATGACAACCCATTCTTCTAGTTGCTTGGGACAACTATCTTGAAGTCACTCTTGATTCATTTCTTGTTATCATACAGCATAGCCAGTTATGAGAATAGTGGCCAGAAGCTCATTAGATGAAGGGCCCAGCACAGGTTGGAAGGGCTACTCCGTGCCTGCACAGGGAGGGGAAGGCCCAGTCTAGGGCATGTCACTGTGACATTTCCAAACACTCAGGATAAAGGGAAGGTCCCAAAGGTGCCCAGAGAGCGGAAGGCAGGTCACATGCAAAAAAGTCAGACCTGGAGTGGCAGAGGACACAATCGCACTGTCCGCGGGCTTATTCTGGCAACACCCCGCTTCCGGGACATGGACATGGTTTGATTAGATACATGTGTCACTTCAAAAAATCACTCTTGTGTGTTAGGCAGAGTGGGGGCTCAAGTCAGCTCAGTGAACCTAGAAGTCTCCAATCTGCCTGTCTGGGAAC